ATGTACGTATGTTTTTCCTCTAAAAAAGTCTAATTTCTAAATTTGCAAATGTTGTTCATTTCTAAAGTTTTCCTGCTGGACACAAGATGTCTCCTACTTCACTGTAAAGTCCATTATCAGTGGATGTGCACTAACTCTGATTTTCACTGAGCACAGAGAAACTTTCCACTTTCAGCAGATGGATGTGAAAACCTCACACTTGTCAAACTCTGCACATACATCATTCTACACAGTGAAGCTCAAACATCCAACAGTAGGAACAAGAAGAAACTGATTTTTGACTGCAGGGGTAACTTTAATCACAAGCTTTATTTTGAAAGGTTTAACGGAAGTCGTGCGTTTTAGAGTCCCGTTTTGATGCTGGGTCGGCGTAGCTGCTTTCTTTGCAAAGGAATGCCGTGGCTTTATCTCTGTCGGGATGGAGGTCTGACTGACGTTTTGAGAAAAACATGTCGGGACTGCACTTTCTTATCTTATTAAATAACCGTGAGTATTTGTAGCCGATCCCACCCGGAAGAAAACCACCAGGCTAGCTGCTGTTTAATATCAATGAGCGTACAGGGGAAAGCTAAGCTAATATCGTCAGGATATAACGTTAGTAGCTAGCTAAAACAAAGCCAGAGGATAACGTTACCTCTTAGCCAGGGTAGGTTACATACCGGGCTGCCTCATCACTGTTTGAAGCCAGTGTAACCTTCACTTAACCTTAGAGTATATAGGCTTTAACACTTTAAAGGAAAAATGCTTCAAAAACAGTTCTCTCTTAACCGAGCTAACAGCCTGGGCTGCTAAAGCTAGCTCGATACCGTTTAGGGAAAATTGAGCCCTAAATGGAACTCACTGTGCGTTATTATTACAGCATTGCACTGTTAACCGTTGAATTTGAGCTGATCTTTTCTTAATGACAACTGACACAACTACCATTAGGATTTTACAGGAGACATGCTCTGATACACTGCAGTAAACGCATCTTATGTATGACTAATATGGCTCCAATACTAATACTAATACTTCATACTTAAAGATACATCAGCCAGTTCCTAATGTACCTAGCTGTTACTGCACATATCATCACATATAGCCCCAAGCTGTGCTAGGGCTGCACAATTAATTGAAATCGCAATATCCAAAACACAAAAAGCTGCAGTAGTTTGATAAAGGTAAAATGTGTTTTAGTATTATAATGAAGCACTCTAGCGCTTACCCTCAAATCTTGTTCTCCAAATGAAAGAAAATTTGGATTTTTTTTTTTGGTCACATCATCATGATTTCAATTGTGATGCGGAAATTATCATTCCCATTAGACGTGAATCATATCGCCATCGCAATATTTGTCAAAATAATCGCAATATGACTTTTTTTTAACCATATAATGCAGCCTTAGTTTGTACCTCTTTTATGTATTGGCATTACATTGGAGTGACAGAGCTGATAGAGAGAGCTGATGATAGGTATATTCATACTGGGGCAGTGTATTGGCAAGAATCTATTTTTAGGAAAATGGTAGTATAAAGAATATACTGCCACATGCTTCAAATATTAGTTGTATGTAAACACAAAAATCAATGGTGTTTTTGAGAATTGATACAATATCACAATACTCAAGTGTATCGATATTTTCTTACACCCCTGTTTTATTTTCTTGGAATTACATGTGCATTAGATGTGTGTGGGTTGCCTTCTATGTTTTCTACAGTAGCCCAGAAGGGACGAACCAAACACTGGCTGTAGATAAGGCAGTTTTTTGCAAGGCGCGAGCAGTGTTCAGTTAGTCTCAATCAGCAACTTCACCGCCACTAAATCTTACACAAGGGTCCTTTTAAGTTAAAAGTTACTTTAATCATTGATCAACCTGCTGATTATTTTCTCCATTAATCGTTTGGTCCATAAAATGTTGGAAAATGGCAAGCCAACGTCTCCAAATAACTTGTTCGGTTAGACACATGGTTGAAAATCCAAAGATGTGCAGTTTACTGTTAAAAAAGAAAAAAGCAGGAAATATTTATATTCATTACTTGCATGATTGATTGATTATAGATTATTTTTCTGTCACACTAATCATGTCAGCTCCAATACGACGAATATAATAATAAAACGTTTAGGGATGCAACGATTGTGAAAGTTTGGACAGATACCAATGTTTAAAATAACAATTTGACAGATAGCTGATGCCGATGTTTTTTTTTTTTTATTCGCCCAAAGAAATCTACAGAGACAAGTCTGTGTTTTTTATATCTTTCCACTGAAATAACCAGAATATAGTATTTCCTTTAAAGTCTGTGTGGAAAAACCTGCCTTTTTATATTATGTCTACACCTTGAAAGTCAATTCCCAAACATAACTTTTAAATTTCTGTTTTTTTTTTTTTTTTTTTTTTTTTTACAGATGATGCTCAAAACAACATGGTAGTAACCTCTACCTGTAACTGGCAAGCAAAAACATCTAGTCAGATTTAAGAGAACTGCTGCATATTTCCGAGTCAACATTTAGCACTTCGGCATTGTATTTGCTCCTAAGCATGGACCCATAACTTCCTCAGCGATCAGGGTTCACAGTTCTACTTTTCCTTCAGTTGCTGTGTGACGAACTGTCTGGAAGAGTTACAGCTGTTACTGCGTGTCGCCGTACAAGCCTGTGAAGCTTCATCAAGATGTTTTCAGCGCTTAAAAAGCTGGTGGGATCTGAGCCAGGGCAGCTCAGGGACAAGAACATCCCAGCTGGCCTGCAGTCCATGAACCAAAGTCTGCAGAGGCGCTTCGCCAAAGGGGTCCAGTATAACAGTAAGTAATGTGGCCAATCAGAGGACTAAATCAAGCAGAAAATCTTCACATTGGAAAAGCTGAAATCAGAAATTGGAAATTTTTTCTTAAGCTGTTAAAACACACCTGCCCGCTGTCAATGGGCTTAGGGTTATGGTTAGGGTTATACAGATGCAGTTGGGTCAGGGGATAGGCGTAGGGTTAGGGTGGGTGTTAAGAGGTTAAGAAATGACGACGAAAGATTAAAGATCCATATAGTCGGCAATTAATGTAATAGCTAACAACTAATCGATTAATTCGACTAATCATTGTAGCTCTAAATACTTTATGTCCGTCCCACTTATAAATATAATATGTTGCTTCTCAGTTGTAAAGGGTTTTCTGACAGACTTTCCCTCCCAAGTGAAAATAGTCATCCGGGGAGATAGAAACACCGGCAAGAGTACTTTATGGCATCGACTGCAGGGCAAGAAGTTTGTGGAGGAGTACCTGCCCACTCAGGAAATCCAAGCCACAAGTATCCATTGGAATTACAAAAGTAAGTCATTGCAACTCTGAACATTGCAGCTTATTTGATTTTATCACCACTGCTTTGGTTATGTTTCTGTGTTGGTAAATATTTGACGTCTGCTGTTTCTGCCTTGTCGATTTGTCTCAGTGGCTCCATATCAAGGTAAAACAACAGAGACCATGTGTTCAGATTTATCTCCAGCTAACCGAGTTTTAGAGTAGGTGTCCTGTATTCGTGTTAGTTGTTCCATACCAAGCAAACCTTGTTCCACCACTACTACTTCCAGTGTTCTTTAGTTACTGTACTCATATTAGAGCAATTTAAAGCTCCAGTGTGTAACATTTAGTAGGATCTATTGGCAGAAATGAAATATTCATACGTATGTTTTTATTAGTGTGTAATCACCTGAATCTAAGAACCTTTGTGTTTTTGTTACCTTAGAATGAGACATTTTATCTACAGAGGGAGCAGATCCTCTTATATGGAATCTGCCATGTTTCTACAGTAGCCCCAGAATAGAAAAATCCAAAAAATCTGCTGCCTTCTTGCTACCTTAAACACGGTTAAAATGTCGAGCTGAATGTGCTGGCCCATGCTGAGCACGTCAGCTAAATGTGGCTTTGGATATGGGGCGCATAGATAATAACGTGTCATAATGACTTGCTATTTAAAAAAAATTGATGATGACGACCGCTGCATTTCCTCAAGTTGATTAAAAAAAATGATAATATTATTTTATCTACTGCAACTGTTATTTAGTGTTAAATCATAGGAATTTCTTGTGTAAAGTGTTTTGTCTTTATATTAATATATTTAAGTATACTTTAAGTTGTTAGGCTAATTTGCTTTAGCAATGAAAGAAGCCAGTTTTAAATGTTGTCGACCATCATTTTGTGCTTATTTAAAGGTTTTAGCACCAGTGTCAGAAAAAACCCAAACATTACCCAACCCTAGAGGCGAGGGGGTTGTAATCTGCAACTTCACTGCTAGATGCCACTAAATCCTACCCACTGGTCCTTTAACAGCCCTTTACATTAATATTATTTCCCTCTTTGACCCAAAAACATATAATGAATAATGAAAGTGCCCTTTCTGTGTCTCTCAGCTACTGATGATGTGGTCAAAGTAGAGGTGTGGGACGTGGTAGACAAAGGTGAGTGTTGACACACATGGCAATTAAAGAACCAGACTTTCTACTGAGGCTTATGTCACTATAAGATGTTACACCTTTCTCTCTCTACTGCAGTCAGCCTGCTACAGTACAGTCATGACATCAAATAGAGGCATGGTTGCTTATATGCTTTTTTGTCCTCAGTGTTGATGTTGTCTTTCTTTGCACCTCTCTTGCATTCATCTCAGGCCAAAAATATCCTCTTCCTGAAGGTGTAGGTGAGCGCCACTATAGTGTGTAGAAATTGAACTTGCCTGTGTGCCGTGGGTTTGCCCCGCCTTGTTCCACTTTTTATCTGAATGTCAATACGCTCAAGGTTTGGCTATCTCCTGCGTGGCTACATTTGGCTGAATTTTAGGCTGTACATAGCTAGAGCCTGAGCCTCTGAATCATGTGAGCCTTGACTTAATGCCCAGCAGTGTGTATTTAAAGGGTAATGTGTAATTAATTAAAATTAGGCTGCAAGATGCTTTTCCTTAAGAACAGCGGCTGTGCTGCTCTGCTTGCTTTACTCATCGTAAAACAACAAACTAAACTGTGTGTTATATATTTTTTTCTTTTCAGTTTGTCTAAACTTCTGATGTCTTGTTCATTCAGGCAAAGGCAAAAGGCGCGGAGACAATTTAAAACTGGAGAATGAGCCCCAAGAGGTGATTATCACATGACTGTCATGTGTTCAGGAAAAAAGCCTGACTTATGGAATGTGGGTCAGTGATGGTATTGGCTAAAGAAGTCTTATATGGTTTAAATGATCCAAAATGTAAGTATTATGTTGCCTATATTGTGTGATCATACAACATTTGTTTAATGTGAGTATGTGTGTTGCAGTCAGATGAGGTGGCCCTGGATGCCGAGTTCCTGGATGTGTACAAGAACTGTAACGGAGTCATCATGATGTTCGACATTACCAAGCAGTGGTAAGAGTCATCCGTCTGTCCTAACACTGTCTCATCAGTGAACTCTAATGCTACAATATGCATGGACAGATTAGGTTTCAGTGTGTCTGCATGAGGCTGAGAGTTTCCACTAGTAGATTTTGTTCAGCTTGAAAGGCAAAACCCTTCAAAGACGTTTCAACATTGCTATTTTTGGGCATCATGTTTTAGATAATAGATTTAGATTTAGTTTGACTCCGGTTTTACATTGCTCACAGTGTACAAACACAGACTAAGCATACATAAACAGGACTTAACAAAATAGTCATAAAATACCTATGTACAGTTATATATTAACAATAACATTTGTAGACAGTTGACAATAGTGTAGTGGTGCAGATTGCAAAGGATAATGCAACAATAGGTATTTAAATGTTGTTGATGTGCCATGCTGGTGTACTGACCTTGTAGTAACAGTATTCATATCCCTTTCAGTATGTATTCATGCTTGTTCATGTTAGTTCAGCACATACAGTAAATACATGCTGGTTTGACACTTAAAGATGTGGTTGTCATTTGTTTTTCTTACTGTGAACAAATCCCACAAAAACACCAAAACCAACAGTGAATGTCTGTATTATTAGGATACTAAGTATTGTGTGTATATCAGAGTCTGATATCCATTTTTCCTCTGTGCCACAGAGCTCCATTGTTGTCCAGAAACTATTAAAAACACATCAATTAGTCACACTGTTGCCCAATGAACACACACACTGTGGTTTATTTTGACTCAATCTCACATAAATCGTAAATAGTAATAAATGATAGTTGATTGTTGCTATATTATTGTTCTAAATCTAAAAGACATCTAAAATGTCTTCAGTAGGAATCAGTTAGAGCCACAGACAGGGTTGGAAAATCAGACAGTAATGAGAAATAGATGTAACATATTGGTAATTTTAGTCTTTTAAATATAGTGCCAGCCTTATCCTATAAGAATTATGATAAAAGCCCTCATAGTTGAAGACTATGCAGATACAGATATGTATAGTTTGTGCATGTATGGAACCTTCACACCTGAAGACCCCACTAAGTCCACCATCATGTATTTTAAGGTCACAACATGTAGCAACAGCAGCTAGACATCTTTAAACATATGTGCAACATGTGTAACTGGCTAAACATCTGACATTAAATCACTCAATGAACTACAGCAATTTGATCAACATCGTTATTTTTAGTGTATCTGGGTCTCAATTAAGAAATAGATTAAACATTTTAAACAGGATTCTTAATTCTACCCAATCATGAGACTCCCACGTGTCCTGGAAAACCCATACATTTAGAGGCTAGTTTTCCAGTCATGGAAAGATCTGGAAATTGATTAAAATGGACAGATATCCTGGAAATTTTTAATTGTATTTTAGTCCCTCACTCAGATCACCTACGTAAACTTGGGTTAGAGGAAAACTGTAGTAAACCGTAGTTAAATCACCTGAGTCGCTGCAGAAAAAATCGTCTGTTGTGTGAACAGTGGGAAAGTGAGCCCATATACTCTGAACACCTACCTGTATTAACCCTAAGTAACTCATTGTGTACAAAGTAAGGAATAAACCTGGGCAGGATGTGTCTAGGTCTACCGGTAAATTATACAACCATTGTTGTCCTGTATTGTCAAGAAAACTCATGGAAATCTTTATTGGCTTAAACTTATTTTAAGTTTTCTTAACTCACCCACAGATGAGTAAAAATACAAATTTGTCAATTGCAGGACTTTTAACTACATCCTGAGGGAGCTTCCCAAAGTACCCACCCATGTGCCGGTATGCGTGCTGGGGAACCACAGGGACATGGGCGAGCATCGTGTCATCCTCCCCGATGATATAAGAGACCTGATTGCTGGACTTAACAGGTAGAGATCAGCACTTAGCCAAACGGTCAAATGACAGGACTAGAAACAAAAACTCTCACTGAAAAGGAAGCTGATTTGAAGCTGGATTTTGCATTTGACAGCGGTCATGTAGCAGTATCAGTGAAGCAGTTGCATATATACATTCTCAATCACACATGATTTTACCACGCCCTCTTAATTTCCCTATAGATCACATCAGCAAATGGTGGTTGAAGTGAAAACCAAGAGTGACTCGATTAAAGAAGATGTTTTGGAGGAACTACAAAATGAGTCAGACATTAAATAGTGAAGAAGAGGAAACACATTTATCCAGCCCTAGCTCACGAAACAAAAACCGAAAAAAGGCCGACATTCTGTGTGATCCTTGATAAGGGTGTCCTCAACATACTTGCTTCTATCAACGTAATAGCTTGATAATGTTGTTTTTTTCTTTGGATGTAAAATAGGTCTTAAATTAAACCCTAAACAGCCAATCTAAAACAAATCCTTTGTACAACAAATCAATAATTTGTGTTTCAGATCGTATTATTCACTCCCTCAGATAAATAATTAATTTCACATAGTAGAATTAAAGGAATGTTTCCCCACATACTTATCAAGCTCTGTTAAATACCAGAAAATCCCTGCTCCCAACCTCCAGGAGCCGTGCAGCAAAAAAAATAAATATTAAATTGAATTTAATTCAGATTACTATGTGTAATTTTAAAAGCTCATTGTAGTTCCCCTCAGCTCTACAGAGCTTTGTAGCCTCTTTTAGTCAATTGTTTTGGTTTTACTGCCAACAAACTCATCTCTCATCAACCTCGTTCCCAGCAGCAGCTGTTCAAGGATGAAACTATAAAAACTCACTGTACACTACCTGCTCAGCAGCAAACAGGGGACACACACAGTTAGAGACTAGCTGGTGAACATACTGCAGCATTTAGCAGCTAAGGAAAGCCACAGGAGTTGGAGTTAGAGACCACAAACAGCTAAATGTATCATCCTTTATTGGGTGCATACAAACATGACTCCAAATGAATGATAAGGTAGTGATAACATGCCAGATACTGTTCTGCTGCCCTCAAGTGGCCAAAAAGTAAATAGTGCAGCTTTAATGTGTTTACAGTATCTACCTTGGTATAATGAAGGGGATTACTAGGACATATTTGCAACATGGAAATATACTGCATACCATAGAAATAGTCATGAAAGAACCATTAAAGCGTGTGTTTTACAGACCAATGGGATCATCTTACATCCACTATGCTGAGTCCTCAATGAAGAATGGCTTTGGCTTGAAATATCTGCACAGGTTTTTCAACATCCCCTTCCTGCAGCTACAGGTTACTTTTTAACTCTTATACACCATTAGTACCATAATTATTTTTATTTTTATTTAGTTGTTTCTATAATAGTTTAGTAGTAGTATTATAGTCCACTTTAACTTAAGTGGAGAAGATAGGATTGCTGTATTGTTTGTCCTGTGTAACATTCTTTCTAAACATGCTTTCATACAGTGTGAATATGATGGCTTAATCTGAGGTTTGTGTGTATGTGTGTGTTTGCCTGCAGAGAGAGACACTCCTGAGGCAGCTGGAAACCAACCAGCTGGACATGGATGCAACCTTGGAGGAGCTCTGTGTCCAGCAGGAGACTGAAGATCAAAACTATGAGATGTACTGTCTGCATTCTTTGTACAGAGCCCCTAGTGGGACATAAATAACAGCTTTTTCTTTCACAAGTTTATGATGCGCACCAGATAGTATACCATGTGCACATATGTACTGGAATCAGAAACTGGCAACACACTATAGCCGGCAGCTCTCGCAAAGCTGTTGAATTGGGGCGGCTGTGGCTCAGAGGCAGAGTGGGTCGTTCACTAATCAGAAGGTTGTTGGTTCGATCCCCGGCTCCTCCCACCACATGTCGAAGTATCCTTGAGCAAGATACTGAACCCCAAAAACGCATTCATACACATTCACACACCGATGCACAGCAATGCATTTATACACATTCATACACCTTCCAATTAGTAGACGACCCGCTCTTCTCTGAGCCACAGCCGACTCCTAGTCCCGAATCCTCCTTCCCTGGTAGACTTGTAGAACATCCGTTGTAGCCGAGTGCACACGTTGGACCTCCTCAGAAAGAACAGCCTGCTCTGTCCTTTCCTGTAGAGGGTCTCAGTGTGGTCAGTCCAGTTTGTTGTCACCCCCAGGAACTTGTAGGTTCTCTACATCTCTACCCTCTCCCCCCTAATCACAGCTGGGAAGGGGGTCCTCTTGGTGTGGCGGAAGTCCACCACCAGCTCTTTGGTTTTCCCTGTGTTGAGCTGTAGGTGGTTTCTGTCGCACCATCCAATGAAGTTCTCGATCAGGTCGTTTCCCTGTTGATCCATGGCTTGTTGTTGGGGAAACAGCGAATCCTCTTGGTGGGGATAACGCTGTCCTCACAGAACCTGATGTAGTCTGTGACACCCTCGATGTCGTCTCTGTGGTCTTCCTGAAAC